TGAAATAATTCATTGGTGAAGACAATAATTATGAGTACCAGACTTGTAAAAAAAATCACAGTGTCCGGCCATGTCCGACCGGTTCCAGAAGTGGCAGGACATTGTGTCAGAGCAATTTTGAAATCTTATCGTGTTCCCTGTAACATGTATGTGTACATGTAGCAATTCATGAATATGCATGAATAGATTTGGGTATTGTGTACATACAAGTAAATCAGTGAAATCCAGCCATATATGCACATAAAAAATGATATCAGTTATCCAACATATTCAGTTATCCAACATGCCTGATTCCCGATAAGTGACATTCGACTGTACCTTCAATTGCGAAAATACCAAAAAAACAGAAACAAATTCCAAAAATAAATAAAAAATAATGGAAGTCGCGAATTTCATCAGCTCGAACGTCAGGTGCCTGTTTAACAAGATGGACGAGCTTAACCACGTGGCAGAGTTGCAACAACCGTCAATAATCGCCATCCAGGAAACCTGGGCTGATCCATCTGACAGCGACGGAATGTACGCCATCAACGGCTACAAACTCATAAGAGCGGACAGGGACACCTTTAGTGGAGGAGTCGCCACATACATACCACACAGCTGCCAACACGAGACAATTACCATTCCCATGACTCAAGCGGAATGTAATTGGATTGGAATAACAACCGGCCAAACCTCTCTTGTGGTAGGGAACATCTACCGTCCCCCACGGTCCGACCCGGCAGAGTTCGTGATGGAAGTGGAGAGACCCATAAAGCTAGTTGAAAGACCCCAGGATGAGATACATGTACTTCTCCTTGGCGATTTCAACGCCAAGAACTGCTTGTGGCACCCCAGCGACACCACTGATGCCTTAGGTGAGGACCTGCATTGGCTGTGCGAGACTCGTGGCCTCACACAACACGTCTCCTTTGACACCCACCCACGCCAATACACACCTACATCGTGCCTGGACCTGGCCATCTCTAGCTTCAGCCGCAATAACATCACCATCACAAGCCTGCCCCCTGTGGGTGCCTCTGATCATGTTGTCATACAAGGCAACCTATGACCCCAGCAGCACACCACCCACAGAAACAATAATACCAATAATAATAATAATAAAGATGAGAGCAGTACTACACAGCAGAGCACCTCCAGCACATACTGGTTGTGGAGCGAGGAACGCATTGCCTCCCTGCGTGCAGCTCTTGCTACCTGCAATCTGCAGCACGATCCACATCCCACTGACCCTCAGCTAGTAACCTCATTCTGGAACTTCTGGAGAGACCAGATACTGAAACTAGCCGTGCACCACTGGCAAGTGACCAGAAGCAAATCCCGCAAGAAAACCACGCCCACTCGTCCCTGGATGACGAAGGATCTCCTCAGCCAGATCAAAACAAAGCACAAACAGTTCCGCACCTATAAGGGGACCCAATTAGACTCAGACTGGAAACTGTACACAGCCCAGGGTAACCGAGTAACCGCTCTTTTGCGACAGGCTAAGTCCGACTTTGTCCAGCAAACAACGTCAACGGGTACAAACCTCCACCGTCTACTGAAGCACCTGAAGAAACCGCCTAAGCAAACAATTCCTACACTATCGACGGCCAACTCCACTGCAGCCACGGCAATGGAGAAGGCAACAGCTCTCAACAAGTTCTTTATCTCCCAAAGCCAACAGTCCATCGACAAGACCGCCTGTACTACACCAGACATGAACACTACCCCTGACATCAGTCATACTCTAAATACAATCGCAGTGAGTGGAAGAGGTCGAGAAGCTTCTAAGCAGTCTAGACACTGGCAAGAGCCCAGGCTTTGACAGCATCCCAACTCGGCTCCTGAAAGAAACTGCAAAGGAAATCTCCCCATCTCTCACTAGTCTCTACAATCTGTCCTTCAGAACCGGAGAAATACCACAAGATTGGAAAGACGCAACTACAGTCCGTATCGCCTATAAGGTTGGCGGCTATAGTAATATACCGGATATAGTGATCAATTTCTCAAATTCATTTTCATTTGCCATAACTAAGTATACACAGTTATCGCGTATAGTTATAATCGTCTATAGTAATTATATCGCCTATATTGATCAAATTCATATTTCAAAAGACGTTTATTACACTATTTTGCATCGGTTATAGTGATTGATGTAAAATCAAGCGATGTCAGAGGAGAACAGGGTGTTACTTCTTCGTGAAGAACTTGTCCAGTGACTCAGTGAGTGTTGTTTGGTGAGTTTTGTTTGTACAAGTTGCCAAAATATGCCTCCATCATGAGGAAATCCTGATTTTGTGTGTCAGGCGCTACCGCCAGCTACATGACATTGTACATGTATGTAGTGCGTACATGTATGTGCACGGCGCGCTGAGTCGTTTGACACCCCACTCGCATACATTGCATGCAGTATCGGTCATAGTAATATATCGCTTATAGTGATAAAATGCTCAAAATCAAACACCAACGCTATAGGCGATACTGACTGTATTACACCCATCCCCAAGTCGGGCAACCCCTCCCATCCTACCAACTACCGACCCATCTCCCTGCTCAGTATAATATCAAAAACACGAAGAAAAAATAGTCCACTCTCGTCTTTACAATCACATAGAACTGCACTTACCCTCCAACCAATCCGGCTTCAGGAAACAAGACGGGACCGAACTGCAACTCGCACGGATCGTCCACCAGATATCCACCGCTAGGGATGCGGGGAAGCATGTTGTCACGTGTTTCTTCAATCTCAGTAAAGCCTTTGGTCGTGTATGGCATCAAGACTTGCTGAAAAAGCTGAGCCACTACGGTGTCGACGGCAATGCTCACAAGTGGTTCGAAGCCTACTTGACAGGACGCAGACAGTGGGTGCAGGTTGAAGGCACAACATCTGCCCTCATACCAATACCAGCGGGAGTGCCTCAGGGCTCTGTCCTGGGACAACTTCTGTTCCCGGCGTACACCATTGACCTGCCCACTGCCTGTGAAAATGCCACAAACTCGTGTAGCCAGTTCGCGAACGACACCGCACCAATTGCCATTGCAGGCAGCTACATTGAGTGTGCGGCTGCGCTACAAAGAAGCGTCGACGCCGCAGCAGAATGGCTAGAGCGCTGGCACCGGCTAGTCAATAAAACGAAAACCGTCATCCTCCCGTTCTACCATGCTAACCGACCCCCACCACGACTACCCGAAATAAAACTTGGGCAAACCCTCCTAGAAACAGTAACACAACATCGTCACCTCGGCATCATCTTTCAGCACGACCTAAGATGGTCAGCCCACCTTGACTTTGTGCTGAAGAAAGCCGTAAAATCTTTTAATGTTCTCTTTCGGCTGAAATCAACTCTACACACTAAATCACTCTCTCTCTCATTTACAAAACATATATCCTGCCTATAATTGAATATACGTGCATTGCTGTCACCCCGCTCTCAATCGCAGCCCTTGACCGTCTTGAGCGAATCCAGCGCAAGGCGGCCAGAATCTGCCTCCGTCTCCCCCTCTACACTACTCTGAATCATTCAACACTGCTCCATCTGCTCAAATGGCCGACAATGTTCTCTCACCGCAAAGTTAAGCTCACCCGTCGTGCCCACTCCATAAAATACCAGTATGCCCCACAACACATACGCATGCTCAACACCCCCGCTCAAGTTACGGCCCAGTAAGGCCTTCGACACGCATGCACTTGGCACCTCCCACCCTCCAGAACCGATCGCTGTAAAGACTCCCCACTGTTCAAGTCCCTAGAATACTACAATGCCCTCCCTGCTAGCATTCGTGGCGTCTCCTCCCGATCTGCTTTCAAACAAGAAATCTGCTCACTGCTGATTAACTCAATCTGCTCCTGCAGCGCTCACCCTCTCCCATACTTGTAAAATTCGAAGTGATGTAAATCACTTTCCAGCTGCATAACCCACGATCTCACCTTCTCATACATTTGTCTCTTATTGGCGATGGTGCCATCGTGAGAATAAAGAATTCAAAAAATTCAAAATGTGTGCAAAAATGACAATCCCATTCTTGTACATAGAATTTCACCATTTCAACAGTGCTGTATATAACCAAAATACACGTACGGTAATAATTCTGTATATAACCAGTGTAGCAACACTAGACATGTCCGATCAATCCAAAACTTTCAGACAGTGAATATTAGGTGTGTTTGATCATTTTGAGCCCAGCACAACCCAGGGGCCAACCAATATAGCTGATTTGGTCCAAGTTCAACCCCATAAGATCAACAGACAAAGACTGTTAGTTTCACGTTGTGAGTGGTCATTCAAATCCGAGCTCAAAGTAAACCAAGACAGAGGGCTGAGACCGAGTCTCGACTCGACTCGACTGAAGTAAAAGAGGGAGTGAGAGCTTCTTTTATAGCGCAATTTAGAGATATGACGTGACCATTGCTTAGAATGCTACGAGGTAATTCCAACTCATAATAGAACAGGTAAAACCGGAATATGCACAGCAAGTCAGCAGAAAAGCAAAATACACGTACGGTAATCATTCGAGAAGAAACAGGAAGAAAGACATGGAGAGAAGAAAGACCAACTTGGGACGGGGGAGCCCGCTCACCCACGTCAGAGTACAATGTGCGTATATGAGGGTCATGTTGGGGAGCCCGCTTACCCAACGTGCCATTGCTCATCGGCTTCTTATTTGTAAATTCTGCGGTGTTCTTCACTCCAGTCACGTCCAGGGACGTGACACATGTAGCTTCGTTTGAAAATATAACCCACCTCCGACTTCTATTACGTTTATCTTTATATTTGTTTGTTTGTGTGTGTGTGTGTGTGTGTGTGTGTGTGTGTGTGTGTGTGTGTATGCGCTTGCATGCATGTATGTGTGTGTATATGTGTACTTGCGTACACACGTATGTATGTGTGTGTGTGTGTGTGTGTGTGTGTGTGCGTGCGTGTGTGTGTGTGTGTGTGCGTGTATGTGTGTGTGTGTGTGCATGTGTGTGCGTGTGTGTATGTGCGCTTGCATGCGCGTATGTGTGTGCCCCCACTCAGCAATCATCTGCTCCGACCCAGGCAATCCAGCAAATGGTGTACGCATCATTACGCGAAATCATCCCCTTGGTAGGGATGTTATTGGATACCGCTCTGCGTTGAATTCTAGCTGCAACCCTGGCTACCAGCTATCTGGAAACGCTTACAGAACCTGTAATTACAGTGGCTGGAATGGAGAGCAGGCGAATTGCACGGGTAAGAATTTTATCACTTGTCCTACAGCTATTCTTCCTGAATGGTTTGGGTGCATGCTTGAACATGTTGAGTGAACAATTGATCCAAGCTAGTTGAGTGGTGGTGATTGGGTGCGGGGGGGGGGGGGGGGGGGGAGGTAAAGTGGAATGTGAAGTGATACTGATGTCCTTCCCCGGCCTGCCGGTTTGACTTGGCCATGAGTAGGGCTTAAATCATCCAGTTGCTTTTCGGCCTGTGGTATTAAAGACTTGAAGGTTGCATGCTTGATATGATTCTGTAAGACCTAGTGAACTGGCGCTAACCTCTCAAGACACTTGTTTTGTTGAAGGACAGTACTGTTCTATGCAATTGGATCCGAGCGTGGAACAAGTTGGTGCCCAGCACCAGTTTACATCCCAGTGTTTGCAGGTCTGGAGCTGCACAGCACCCGGCGCGTCATTCACTCGCTCCCCTTTTATACTTCGCACTATCTTTCCGTGCACTCCTTCTTCTGTAACTTACTCGGCAGTTGCTGAGAGTATCGAAATCCAGTATGTCTTTTGTCACTGGCCTCGTACAACAGCCTGCCTTCATCATATCGCTATAATTATAATAATCTTTATTCCCGTAGCTATGCAGAAGACGTTACTTCAGTAACGTCTGGCGCTAGCCAGGGTCCACACAGCTTTAATTTGGTATTTGTGTGTTTGTTTGTTTGTTTGTTTGTGTCACGCCTGGCGCTATCCGTATCTGACGGCAAAAAAGCATAGGATGTTATAAATTTTTCAATTCTCCTATTTTTTTTTCAGGCATATCCTGGGATTCGAACCCGCACTATCGCCCTACATGCATTCCCCCATACACTTCGCATTCATACCCATTCTTCCAAGTTGCTTCACGTTATTATCTTGCGTTTGAAAGCCCTATTAATTTTGAATATTGCGGGCAGCTGTATGTGGCCAGCTGTGTTTGATGGTACGGTACGGTTCGGGAGACGGTGTCATATTACCCTCGATCGTACCTGTCCCGTACCTATCCCCTACCGTACCGTGCCATCAAAGACGGCTGGCCACAAGGCATATTCAAATAGGGCTTTCAAATGCAAGATCACAGTGTGAAACAACTTGGAAGAATTAGCATGTATGCAAAGTGTATCGGGGGATGCATGCAGGGCGCGCGATAGTGCGGGTTCGAATCCCAGGTTATGTCTTAAAAAAAGGACTTTTTTAAAGAATTTATAACATCCCTATGCTTTTTTTTTTGTCTAGGTCATCAAGGCAAAAAAGCATAGCGTAGGGCCCTGAGCTTCCAAGCTCTCTCGTTCCCGTAGCTATGCAGAAGACGTTACTTCAGTAACGTCTGGCGCTAGCCAGGGTCCACACAGCTTTAATTTGGTATTTGTTTGTTTGTTTGTTTGAGGCAGGCAGGCATAGTGGGATGGTCTAAGACCTCGATTGAGTAACAGAGGGTACCAGGTTCAAGTCCTGCTTGGAAGCGGAAGGAATTTTTCCAGCCGTGCTGCGACCCACAGTTCATTGGGAACTCGTGGCCTGGCACGAGGGTAACATGGATGCCGCTAATGGGATTTCGGTCTTTGACCACTTGGTGGTGGGTCTGATCTACTCACCTCCCACCGTTTAGGCGCTGCATCTGCGCTTTTGATCCTAGAGGGTGGTGGTGTTTCCACTCTGCGGATGCGGAAAACTCGGCTTCCAGCCAAGTCTCACGCGAACCGTGAAAAAAGTGTTTGTTTGTTTGTGTGTTTGTGTCACGCCTGGAGTTATCCCGTGTCTGTCCTGTATATGTGACTACAACGGCTCTACAGGATTGTACATAACAGCTGGCCACAATATTTGCTGGCTCCCGTATCTGTCCCGTACCGTCCCGTACAAACAGGCCAAGACGAACGAAATGACTACATGGTGATTATTGAAGAGGGAGATTATTGAAGAGAGCTTACTGAAGAGAGAGAGAGTTGAAGAGAGAGCAACACAATAAAAAGGGCCTGAGTAGCTATGGCAAACATGGACGCGCAAGTAGCTACCCAGGCCAAATGCATAATGCATGAACTAATGAATTATATGAATTAATATATGAGCCCCAGCCAGCAGAAACCTGAACATGTGTAATTTTTCAAAAAAATATTTTTTCGCTCGAAATTGATTCTACACTATTAATGATAGCTTGCATAGACCTCGGTCCTGCCGGTAGGACCTACCGGTGGGGCCATCATACACAGACATGCTGCATGGCCTCTGTTCTAACATTGACCTAAAACTTGACCCTTAACTGTTGCTAAAGGGGGTAATGGAGGAGTCCACAAATTTTAGATGTGATCGCACAAGGCATACTACGAAATTCCATGGTAACAGCCCATGGTAACCATGGAAACGGAGTATGGAATTATGCATTCCACTGCCTTGGCAAGCTAATAAAAACATTAGGACCTCACCACAATTGATGTGTCACGACGGTCAAAATTCACTTTGGACAGAGTTGCTAGCGCACCGACAGGATTATGTGCAGCCATTTTGACATTCGATAAAATTGCGCATACGCAATGCACTGGACATAGCCTTGCATTTTGCGCCATTACTTTGCCTGACAAAGACCTCATCTCAACAATTTTTTCAAGAAATTTCTCAACCAAAGGCGCTTTTGCAGCTTGATTTCTGGGGTCCTACCGGTAGGATGGTATGCAAGCTGTCATTAATCATTCAAGTTATCAAGTTTGGTGACAATCTGATAAGCGAAAGCATGGAAAATAGAGTTTGAAGTCACACCGGTCAAGATTCGGTACAGTTGGCGCAGCATCCATGCCTAGTGACTCCATGCAAGTTGATCCTACAGTTTCTGATTGTGATGTGGAACAGGTACATGTAAGTGAATAGAATGCAAGTCAGGCTTGCCCTCTTGGTGCTGCAGGCATGAGTAGTTCCGAAGTGTGACGATATTCCGTATACACCACTACCTTCTTTACAACACCAGAGTGCAAAACAATGATTGGTGGCTGGCCTTCCAAAATGTGTTCAGGGACCTCTGTGCTGGCAGTTTGAGCGTTGTCCCAAAGCTTGCCATACTGATAGATGTACTGACCAATACCACAGACATCCACTCCCTTGCACACTTTCACTCAGACCATGATTTCAGCATAATTGTATTTCAATGATATGAGCGAATACTCGCATTTTGTAGCACGTGAAGATGTTGCCCCAAAGCGTTCAGCCGGTTTGACTTTTTAGGGATCCCCTTTCTCAGCACAGGCAGCACCCAGCTTGGCGTCGTCTGGCAAGGTAGAGTACTGATAATACTACGCTCTGTTTTGCGCCGTGAGAAGCCCTCCATCAGTGTCTGCAACATCATTGTTGTCGATGCCGTAGTAATATGGATCGCTCAGCGGGTCGACATTCAGCTTCTCCTCGCAGTCGCTATTACTCCAGCACTGACTATCGTCGCCACCAGTATCCTGTGTCGATTTTATGGGGCTCTTTGTTGCTATGCATATGAGACTCGGCACTGCTGGACAAACTCAGCGAGATCACCACCAAAGAAAGAATTCCGATCGCGAACTAACTTTCAGCGCCGCTTCGTACAGGGAGTCTCACGCTGACAACTCACGACCTAAGTCCTTGTCGTGACACCTGTCGCCATCGCTGTGTCTAAACTCAACCTCCGTGTGATGAGCTCTCACCTAATGCTAAAATCAATTGACCAGAGACACTTGAAGACACTTGAAACTCCTTTGACAACAAAGACACCCACTCGATCGAAAAGGAATCTTCAAAAGCCAGCTCACTGCGCGTCCCAAACTTTGACGTCACATTTTGATGATTGATATCAAGTACACAAGTGCTGGTTTCCGCTGGCCGGGGCTCATATTGAAATTACTTGTGGGCCTAACAAATAAAATAAAATAAAATGTAATAGATATGTAATAGATAACTGTATCTAAGAACTCAACTGGTGAGCCAAGGAAAAATTTGTAACATGGGAAATTGTGGGCTCAAGTTATGCGATCGAGTCCACCAACTAAACAGATTTTAAATAGTCAGACGTGCACAATCTAGTACAAAGCTGACAGGGAGTACTGAGACATTCTACCGCATGAAAGTCAGCTTGAGCACTGCTTGATAGCACTAACCAGCCAACGGCCTTCCAACCTGGAAGGGTCATGGATATTAGTGCTAATTCCAAATCGGGGAAGGCGAGCGCCATCGAGCCGAGCACAAGCTACATTCCCAGACTTCATGGAATGCTGGCCTGGTATGATGACGGGACGGCAAGACCAGACAGAATGGTCAAACCACAATTCAACAACGCAAAGCAGCAACCACCCAACCTGGAAGGCTCAATATTATCAGAGATGAAACTATGAAGGGGAAGCTTCGCTAGGTTGAATTGTAACAAACCGAATGCCAACATCTTACAATACTGTAGGTAGTTGATGACAATGATGGACTAACTAATTTCAATAACTTGTCACATGTATAGTATCAAACGACGATGGTTTCGCCGTATTGTTCATGACGGCTCTTCAGGTGTGCATCTTAAAAGAACTCAGATGGTGAGCCAAGGAAAAAATCCGACTATTCAAAATCTAGTCTAGTTGGTGGACTCGATCGCACAACTTGTGCCCGCAATTTCATATGTTACCAATAACTGTGTTTCGTGACAAAAACTCTGGGTGCGGCTTGTACTCCGGTGCGGCTTAAAACCCAGTGCGGCTCATACTCCGATGTGGCTTAAACCCCAGTGCGGCTTATACTCCGATGTGGCTTAAACCCCGGTGCGGCTTATACTCCGATGTGGCTTAAACCCCAGTGCGGCTTATACTCCGGAACGTATGGTAGCAGCTTGCCTAACTAATAATTCTATGCGTTTCTTCTTTGTGTTCTATCAGCTCTTCCATGTTCAGATCCCGGCATCCCAGTGAATGGCGGGAGAGTAATTACTGGTCTAGCCTTTCAAGACAATGTCAGCTATTCATGCAACAATGGTTTCCAGTTGAACGGCACAGCTAACATCTCTTGTATTTGGGTGAACGGGACAAAGTGGACAAATTCGACACCCATTTGCGATCGTGAGTACATTATGTGAAACTTGGCAATCAGTTGAGACTACTCAGAAACAGGAGAATGAAGTCGAAGACACCACTGCAGCTGTACTTATGGTTGATAAATATGGTGGTAAAGACACACCTGGCAATATGGCGGTAAACACACGCCTGCCCACACACGCTCTCTAGGCTGCAAAGTTCTGGCACAGAGCTCTCCTCCTCAACACCAACACCATCAGTTCGCGCCTGGCGCCTGGTCGATGCATGGCTAAACCATAAGTACAGCTGCAGTGGTGTCTTCGACTTCATTCTCCCGAGTCAAGCTCCGTATGAAGACATCCAAGACGAAGATTGCCTGATGAGTCCACCGGGGACGAAACGTATGTCGCAATCGAGCTATGTCGTTGCTGTGTCATCATCTATGTGCCATGCGCTGCTTGATGTACCAGCCTGCTATGCCGGATACCGCCAGCCATGCATCGACCAGGCGCCAGTCGCGAACTGATGGTGGTGGTGGTGAGAAGGAGAGCTCTGTGCCAGAACTTTGCAGCCTAGAGAGCGTGTGTGGGCAGGCGTGTGTTTACCGCCATATTGCCAGGTGTGTCTTTACCACCATATTTATCAACCATAAGTACAGCTGCAGTGGTGTCTTCGACTTCATTCTCCCGAGTCAAGCTCCGGATGAAGACATCCAAGACGAAGATTGCCTGATGAGTCCACCGGGGACGAAACGTACGTCGCAATCGAGCTATGTCGTTGCTGTGTCATCATCGATGTGCCATGCGCTACTTGATGTACCAGCCTGCTATGCCGGATACCGCCAGCCATGCATCGACCAGGCGCCAGTCGCGAACTGATGGTGGTGGTGGTGAGAAGGAGAGCTCTGTGCCAGAACTTTGCAGCCTAGAGAGCGTGTGTGGGCAGGCGTGTGTTTACCGCCATATTGCCAGGTGTGTCTTTACCACCATATTTATTACTCAGAAACATAGAAATTATGGTATAAAACCTAACTTCGCAGAAATGTCAGTCCACGAAGTAAAATGTGTTGAGACACCACCCTGGACCCTGTGATGTCTGACTTCGGCGAACCGGTTCAGGTAAAATGCCATGCCCCACTGGAGACCTCTGCCCGCGCTGTCCTCACCATCGACCTCCCATTCTCTGCGTTCCGTGAACCAAAAACCACACGAACTGTCTAGCGGAACAACCAAGCAGACTGGGACCACCTCTCTTACTTTTTCCTAGCCTACGACTGGTCAACTGCCTTCACCACCAGCGCTGATGAGTCGCGTGCCAACATCACCGAAATTATCCTCCAGGGCATATCACGTTTCATACCATCCCGGCAACTTACATCCCGGCCGACGGATCCAGCTTGGTAGACCCCTGGGTGCACCGATGCCATAAAAGCAAAAGAGAGGGCTTGGGCTGCTGCCAGATGGCAGAAGTCAACAGCAGCGCGGCAGACAGCCTCGGCAGCCACTCTACGCTGTAATGACATCTTCCAGCATTCCAAGGTGGCCCGCCTGGCCACCCTGCGCACTAAGCTCTCCAAAGCTAGCCTGAGTGACCGTTCATGGTGGTCTGCCAGCAGCAGAAACACCTCTATCCCAACGCTCACGCCGCAGAGTGGTTTGGAATGCGTATAGAATGCCGAAAAAGCTGAGTGTTTTGGGCAGTATTTCGCCTCAAACTGCAGCCTGGGCACCGACGGCTTCCCCGCCAACCAACCTGCGACTTATTTCCCCCACGTTGCTCAGCGCACGGCTGAAAAACTCTCAGCGGTTCGGTTCTGCCCTGCCACGGTCAAGAGAGAACTCCGGCACTTAAATGCATCGAAAGCTACTGGTAGGCACTTCAGGCGGTTTTTTCAAAACCAGAAATACTCGTATTTCTTTCTTGTATCCGATTCAGATAGGTTTAGGAAGACTCCACAGAAAATTTGAAGCAAAAAGAATAACTTGGCACAGAGATATAGCCATCCAAAGTCGGAGAATTGAATAACGCCAATTTCAGTATTTCGACGGCACCAGCAGCATATCAGAATTGGCAGGACTTGCTTCAGTGTCTATAGTGGCAAAATACCAAGCTCGCTGGAAGCAGGTCAAAATAACCAGATGAATGCAGAAACAGCATGGTTTGGAAAAACTTCGCATTTTTCATCCGTCTGGCAGCTCAGACGAAGATATCGGGTGTGGTCACCATGGCAACTCCATAGCAACAGCATAGCAACTCCATCGCAACAGCATGAAAACAGTGCAGAGAAGCCTTTGGAAAAGCATATGATGAGATTTTGAGGTAAGATAGAGTAACTACAATAATTCAGTGCCAGAACACATTGATGCTACATGTACAGTACTGACTTGGTGACGAGTACGGAAGAACAATGAGCCGCTGACTGAATTTTACTGGGTATTTGACGGAAAGAAATGACAAACTATCACATGTAGAACATCGTCTGCAAATTTTTGGGACTACTGAAACTTCAGCAACTCCAGCATGAGAGATTTTGTGCATAGAGTGTGTGCTGGATTCTTGGTATAATATCACCGTCAATGCTTTTCTTGGTCGCTGGAAGCCACCTGCTGATCAGCTGACGATTTGTTCCAAGCAGGCCATTTTGATGTCAGCTCTCTTGGTCCAGTCGCCGAAGTATATACTGTCCTACTCGTCGCCTGCAGGAGAGGACGACTGCTCCGATGCGACTCCAATAACACCTGGCAATATTTCTTCTTGCGCAGCCATGCGCATGGGCTCCGACGAACAAGGACTACTGCCGGAGGACGCCTGCCGCGGCTCGCTTTCAATAACACCTCGCATTATTTCTTCTTGCGCAGCAATGCGCAAAGTGTCGGACGAACGAGGACAACTGATTCCGAAAGGAAATACGACGCTGAAGACGATGAGCTACATGGCAAATGCGTGCAATCAAGTGAAATGCCCAAAAAATCCTTGCCGATTTTACTCGAACTGTACGTGAGTTCAAAAAATTGCCGCATCGTGACGTATGTGGGCTCAAACGAAAGCTGAGGGCCTCAGCTACACGCTGCGCCACTCGAGAAGGCCCTGCGCGGCTTCCGTGCAGCTACAGATCGATCTATGCATGCGCCTTTCCGTGGTGCCACGCATGTACGCGATTCAGCGTTAGCACTTTTTGACAGGTCATGTCACGTGACTGAAGTGCCTACTACTGGACGGGACAGCATTCCAGTGGGAGTTCTGAAGATGTGTGCAGACTCCTTAAAAGTAAACCGCTTTCCAAACTGTTCTCCCTTAGCTTCTACAGCATGGTTATGCCGACATCCTGGAAGACAGCTAGAGTCACACCCATTCACAGGAAGAAATCCAAGAACCTGCCTCAACATTACAGACCTGTGTCTCTGCTGTCTATTATATCCAAAGTGATGGAAACGATTTTCAATCGTCAGATAACCCATTTCCTGGAGTCTCACAATGCCATCTCTGTGAAACAGTTCAGGTTCAGAAAAGGCATAAATGCAAAGACAATACTCGTAGGGCCTGAGCACAGCTGACGTCGTTTGGATTTGAGTGTGTATACTTCTAACAGGGGTTTTGCCCACTTTTCTTGGTCAGATCTACTTGAAACTTGGGCTGCATTCATTTTAGCTACCTGGCAGAGTAGAGTAGAGTAAAGTCACTCTACCAATAGAGGTAGATGGGAGAGGTAAGTGTACGAACGCTGTTCTACCGGATTTAGTAGTTTTTCACGATATGTACGTGAAATGTTTCTCTGCTGTATGGAGTTGTGTACAACTCCTTGATCCTGCTGGAAATCCTGTACCTCTACCAACTTCTACCAGCTTCTACCAACTTTTTCCTGGTAGAGCCGGTTGAGGAAAGTAGAATCTACCCTTTTGAGTAGAAAAACGAACACCTCTTCCGAAAGGAGTAGTTTCTACCCAAACCTGTAGATCAAAAATGAACGCCCCCTTGGTGAACATGATCCTAACAGGCCAATAACGTTTTCAGTAGAACACATTTTGAAACATTTCATCTATAGGTCTGTTTTTGCTGATCACGGCTCATATACTCGTAGATCTGGTACGAGCAGTGCAGGAATAATAATTTGGACTGCTGTTCAAAAGTAATGACATTTGCAAAATACTTCACACACACGGCAATAGTACAATGCAACATTCTCAATTGCCAGCGGTTCGTGGTATGTTTTTATATGGAAATGGACAGATATCATGACTTTCTGCTGGTGATGTTGGCAGCTGACAAGTTGCAGCTTTCGTAAACAGCCCACCAAGTGGCAGGACAAAATTTGGACAAGTATACCACCTGTCGCCACTCGCCTATTTGCACATGTTTCAAGACAGCCTCTTGAATGATTCTCGTTTGACCCTACCTTGTTTGTTTATCTATTAAATATTTATTTTCCTTTGAGTCGCGTTGGTGCGAACGCGAGCGTGGGGATGCAGTCTACAGCCATGTTGTCTATTCTGTTATTACGAGTGTCCATGCTATTGTTCGACTGACACTGATAATTCTCTCCTTCTGTCTAATCGCGTTCTACTCTGCTTCTCCCTCTCTCTTCTTTTCTGTTTCCGTTCCGAACGTGTAGTTGTTTGAGCTGCTCTCATGATATAATAGTTGTACTTCTGAAAACCGTTTGTACCCGCGATCCTGCGCTTGTACAACTGCGCTGTGCTGTGTGATTGTGCTATGACTATGAGTATGAGTCATGCTCGCACTATAGCGCAGTTTGTGTATCATGTACGTGTATGTTGTGGCGCAAGCGCGCTGTGCCTTTTCTGGAGACAGCCATTGGGGCACAATCCCCCCTTCACCACCTCCACCACCCGAAAATCATTTTTGAAGTAAAAAACAGGGCACCCGTTTTTTTACCCCAAAAATGGGGTACTCTGGCCCTTTTTTGCTTCCTTTTGTCTTTGGAGTTTTTGAGTTGTGCCAGTTATGGTTGAAGTCTTTTGCCTAGGCCTAGGAACAAAACATAGATTGACTTGACAGCTACAATGGATTGATGTTTCAGCTCACAGGTGTTTGCAGCGCATGAACTCTGGCCAGTTGTCCCCGTACGCAAAATGCGTACGCATTTGGATTTACCGTACATTTCCTCGTGTTTTGGGCGAATCTGAGCGGTACGACGCTGTCGAATTGGGCCTGAATTTGCCCTGAACCAGCCGCTATCGAAGTGAAATTAGGTGTTTTAAAGGCCACACGGGAACATTGCGGCCATGTCTTCTTTCCTGCGTCGTTTGTTTGAAAATCGGAGTGTTTTTGAGCTCGTAGTTTCGTCTTCGTTGTGGAATGGCCGTGCGTACATTCTCCTTGGAATTACCAAAGTCACACCCCCGTTTATTAGATTACTAGGAGTTTTGCCGGCAGCCACGATAGTTTTTATCCCTGCTTCCATACGTCCTTTCATTGAACAGCCAAACGAAACTTTGTGGCGCGCCTTAGTTTTTGTGGCGCGGGGGTCTTAAGTTTGTCACTTCGAGTTGCACACAACAATCACATCAACACCTCAAAGGACCAAAAAACCAAGTGACCCAGTACTTCAACCTTGTGATTCTGTCTGGCTTACTCTGAAGATGGAGACTTCTACTCGTTAGCAGATACTCGTATCAATAAGCTGGGAGGGAGAGCGTGACGAGTAAAATGTTGGGATGAAAAGAGCCACATTCTCTCTCGGAAAAGGTCGTCGTTCCTGCACTGGCTACACACTTGATCTACCCAGCTCTGCAGAAGGCTAGATTTTGCATGCACGTGCGAGATTCGCATCCACGGCGCACATTGGCAGAGTCATAATTTTTGTACTCTCTGATTTGCCGCCATCTTGACGAGTGGCCACTGCGAAACAACCGTGAGCTATCATTATTTTTCATAACGAAACTCTCCTCGACCCACCCACCCATAAACGAAACTTTTTCGTTTGTGTCAATGATTGATAATTATGGACGGCCCCTTACTGTATTGAGATGTGATTGTTGTTGATAATGAACATTAGGTAGTGATTTAGGAGCTCGTTTGTGTGAGTCTCTACTTGACAAGGTGCAAAGAGGCAATTCATTCTATTTTGTAGTCTTCACATCCATGTGTACATGATTGTGCAACACTGTTTTTGAGTTTTGCCCGTACAAGACGCTTTTCTCTCTGCACCAGCTGCACTAACAAAACATTTTTTAAATTATTCTTTTTCATGCTCCTTGCCCAGGTCGCTCATGTATCGATCCCGGTACTCCATCTAATAGTTATAGATCTTTTTATGGCCAAGTCTTCGAAGACAAGGTGACATATACCTGCTATGATGGCTTCAAGCTGAACGGATCCGCCACCAGCACTTGTATTTGGGACAACGGGATGAAATGGTCATCTCGTCCCTCATGTAATCGTAAGTAACAGCTTTCACCCAGTGACAATGTGCGAGCTTGACTTGACCGTACAGCTTTGGATGTTGACAGGGACGACGGTGGCCAATTTGCTGCAGTATTGTGTCTAGTGCAGTGTTAACCCTCTTCTGTAGCAGCCCTATCTTGACGTATGCTGATTCCATCGCAGTTTTTACTCTCCAAACATGAGCGAGAGGGAAGGAAGCGATGGCGTTAATTGTCAAAAACAATTGACAGGTTCGCGTACCGGGCAGGTCAAGAACAAGGAGTCGTACAACTCCCTGGTCAAAAACCGCCTTTCCGCTTCCGTGGGAAGCCACCACCCCATGATCAGGCGTCAGATGCGGCTCCTAAACGGTGGGGGAGGATAGATCAGATCCACCAACCAGAGGCCAAAGGCCTAAATTCCATTTGCAACATCCATGTTTTACTCATGCCAGGCCACGAGTTCCCAATTAACTGTGGGTTGTAGCTAAATTGTTAAATTGTCTAGACGGGTGGAATTCATCCTGCAGCGATTACTTCTCGTCTTCTTTTTCACTTACCTTACACTGGCTATGAGAAGATGGAGAAAAAATAGGAATGTTGAATCCGACACAATCATTCAAAATTTGCAATTTTGAGGCAATTGTTCCATCTCACATAATGTGACAATATGGCCGAATCTCGGGCATGTTATTACTCCTGATGCATCGATGCAATGCTCGTGGTGTTGTTCTGTCACTGCTTTCCGTTGACGTTAGCACATGAACTGTAAAACAGAGAGGTTCCAGGCTGTCCAATAGAGTGTTCAGGGCTAACGGGCAGAGTCAGTTCCAAAAAGAGGAAGAGGATGAAAAAAGTGTTTCACTGCGAGTTTTGCGCGCGAAAGATGATCAGAATTTTCTGATAATCGCTTAGTGCGTGAAACTCTGAGTAAGGACACTTTTTTCATCCTTTTTTCTTGTTAGCACCTGAACTATGCACACTTGAAGTTGAAGTGCAGTCTATGGCAATGAGCAACGAATCCACTTCTAACATCCGAACCTTTAACCCGCCAATCATATTTCATGCATTACCTTCAATGTGCCTGGCATAGGGAAAGGTGAAGCTGCATGAAGTCATTTCTTATTTCAAGTACCCAGGTATGTGCAGCTGCAACTTGCCTGACTGCCTGACTGCCTGCCTGATCGCCTGCCCCACTGCATGCCCTACAGCATCATTGACGAGTGGAACAACTTGCCCCCAACTGTGCTGCAGTCTCTGCCACGCCTGACGTCCCTCCAGTCGGTCAAGGGCAAGGTGCATCAGCACCAACGACAAAGCCGCTGGTATTGGGCTACAGACTCGCTGTAACACCCCATATATCCACAATCAACTCCCGCCCCCTCACTTATCTATTTACATGTGTTTCGTAATCCCGTCCATGGTGCTCTGGATAGCGCTAACGCCGAGACCCTAGGTCGGCGTTGCTAGTCCCGCCTCACCAGCACAGGCTCCCTGAGAGCCCCTTCTAGTACATTGTCTGTCTTCCTTCTTTGTTGTCTCGATCGTTATTTTCTTTTGTCCTCTTCTTCTCTTCTCTTTATTATGGTCTATCAGTAGGAGGTGCATTCTGTAAAAAATAAAGATAAAAAATGCCTGCCTGGCCGCCTGCCTGGCCGCCTGCCTGACTGCCCGACTGCCTGCCTGCCTGCCTGCCTGCCTGCCTGCCTGCCTGCCTGCCTGCTGCCTGCCTGCCTGAATGCCTGACTGACTGCCTGCCCGACTGCCCGCCTGACCGCCTGCCCGACTGCATGCCTGCCTGCCTGCCTGCCTGCCTGCCTGCCTGCCTGCCTGCACACATGCCTGCCTGCCTGCCTGAATGCCTGACTGCCTGCCTGCCTGCATGCCTGCATGCCTGCATGCCTGCCTGCCTGCCTGCCTGCCTGCCTGCCTGAATGCCTGACTGCCTGCCCGACTGCATGCCTGCCTGCCTGCCTGCCTGCCTGAATGCCTGCCTGCCTGAATGCCTGCAACTTGGAAGGTTCATGGATATTAGTGCTAATTCCAAATCGGGGAAGGCAAGCGCCATCGAGCCGAGCCAGAGCTACATTCCCAGACTTCATGGAATCCTGGCCTGGGATGATGACGGGACGGCAAGACCAGACAGAACGGTCAAACCACAAGTCGACAATGCAAAGCAACAACCACCCAACCTGGAAGGCTCAATATTATCAGAGATGAAAATATGAAGGGGAAGCTTCGCTAGGTTGAATTGTAACAAACCGAATGCCAACATCTTACAATACTGTAGGTAGTTGATGACAATGATGGACTAACTAATTTCAATAACTTGTCACATGTATAGTATCAAATGACGATCGTTTCGGCGTATTGTTCATGACGGCTCTTCAGGTGTGCATTTAATGCACACCTGAAGAAGAGAAGAGAAGAGGTATGCCCAGATTCGGCTATTGCATAGCGTATGAAAGCTGCCCGCACAAAGACTAGTGCAGAAGTCGAGGTGATTGCCAACACCTACCACAGCCAGCTTGTTACTTGGATGAAGGAAAAGCCATTCTCCATTCCGGTTGACGAGTCCGCTGACATATCCGTGATGGAGCAAGTGGCATTCGCTGTCCATATTTGCCGCAACGAGACGAAAACGTACCACTATGTAACCAAGACGGTCAGCGCCCCGAATGGCGACAACATCTTCAGTGCGCTAGCTGAGGCCTTTATGGAAGATGCCATACCGTGGGACAACGTGTTGTGTTCCTGCAGCAACGGGGCTAACGTCATGAGAGGCAGCAAAAACTCCGTCCTGACACGTGTCCTTGCTGAGCAGCCATCAGCGTATGCAATGTACTGCCCATGCCATGTGTTGGTGTTGTGTGCCAGTAATGCGGCGACATCTTATTATGAGGAGATGCAGCTACTGCTGGTGGACATAGCATATCATTTTGAGCATAGCCCCAAACGGTGTGCAGCATTGGAGGATGTGCAGAAGAACCTTGGCTTACCGCAACACAAGATGGTGAAGCCGGCAACGACTCGTTGGCTCGCTCTTGAGCAATCGATCAGCCATGTTCTTGAGCAGTGGCGTGCCCTGGAGGAGTTCTTCTCCAAAGGGCCATCATCGTCCACCACGAAAGCGATAAGCATTCTCAAGGCCATTCAAGAACCGTCAACCAAGGCCCGGATGCCTTTCCTGAAGGCGGCACTGCCGGTGTTTACACGGCTGAATGAGAAGCTTCAGCAGGAAGGTCCAATGATCCACTGCATACTTTCCCAGTGTGAGCAGGCGACGAAGACCATTCTCCTGAATGCACTGCGTCCCGAGGTTGTCTTGAGCCATCCTGTGTCCTCGTACAACCTGCTTCGACAAGAAAACTACCTTCAACTGAGCAAGGTGTTCATCGGAACCGAAACCGAGCACTATGTCGAGCGTGTATTTCGCAACGCAGAAAACAAGTGCGCCTTCCTGGAGACCTGCCGTGACTTCTGGATTCAGGCTGCCAAGCAAGCCCAGTCCCGTTTTCCATTGAAGGACAAGGTTCTCGAGGCTGCCAGCTTTCTCTGCCCTACTTCTGGCAACATGGTGGGTGGAGACAAGGTTGCGTATCTTGCCCGGCGCTTCCCTCAAGTTATCCCAAGAGAGAGGTGCGACGAGCTGCGGCAACAGTGGCAGCAGTTCCAGGTGGATCCGGAAGTTCCTGCAGACGGGACAGATGTCACTCGGTTCAAGCGTGATGTTTCTTCACTGAAGACGTCCAGATCGTCTCGCTACAGCCTTGTTGTCCAGCTGGCGACTGCTCTGCTCACCATTCCCCATTCTTCTGCTGCAATTGAGCGCAACTTCTCGCAGATGGGGGAGGCCAAGACATCGAGCCGCAACAGCCTGAGTACGAAAATGCTGAGCAACCTCATGACCACCCAGTGCAACCGAGGTTCAGAGACATGCGTCAGCTTCAAGGCAACATCAGCCATGAGGAAAAGCCTGCCGCAAGCGGTTGCGCTATTTGCTGGAAGAAGCTCTTGAGTATTTAATTGACATTAACATTAGTAGCAGTGACGGACTGATAGTGTGCTTCTCTTGCACGCATATAATCCTTTCTATTGTGTTTACAGGACGGATTCCGACAATATCCTCTGTAATAAGACATCGTCTTACCGCTGTTTGTAATACTGTGCAGTTCATATGCAATGTTCTTCAGTGGCAACCACCTCCGTTTTTTCTACATGCACAAGATGCCAATATTTAATGGTATAGCTGTAGTTGCTACAATTTCGTAGACTTCTTATTCAATATTGGTGTATGATGTATGTGCCTGGAATAGAATAAAGCAGCAAGTGTCACTGTAGAACGTTGCTACAAGGCTATGGTTGCTGCATAATTGACATGGTTGTAGTGCGTGTGCTGGACAGTTAAAAATGTGTTCTGGGGACCCAACAGCAAGCCATTTTCCTAAAAAAAATTCACCACGGGGCGCTGCCCCCTGCACCCCGCCGGGGGACCCTGGTCAGATTTTTCTCCCTCCAAGTGTGGCAGCCCTGGCATTGAGACCTCAGATGGTGAGGAAAGGAACAAATCCGACGATTCAAAATCTAGTTTAGTTGGTGGACTCGATCGCATAACTTGTGCCCGCAATTTCCCATGTTACCAATAACTGTGTTTCGCGACAAAAACTCTGGGTGCGGCTCATACTCTGTCGCGGCTTAAACCCCAGTGTGGCTTATACTCCGATGTGGCTTAAACCCCAGTGCGGCTTATACTCCGATGTGGCTTAAACCCCGGTGTGGCTCATACTCCGGTGCGGCTTAAACCCCAGTGTGGCTCATACTCCGATGTGGCTTAAACCCCAGTGTGGCTCATACTCTGATGTGGCTTAAACCCCAGTGTGGCTCATACTCCGATGTGGCTTAAACCCCAGTGTGGCTCATACTCCGATGTGGCTTAAACCCCAGTGTGGCTCATACTCCGATGTGGCTTAAACCCCAGTGTGGCTCATACTCCGATGTGGCTTAAACCCCAGTGCGGCTCATACTCCGATGTGGCTTAAACCCCAGTGCGGCTCATACTCCGATGTGGCTTAAACCCCAGTGCGGCTCATACTCCGATGTGGCTTAAACCCCAGTGCGGCTCATACTCCGATGTGGCTTAAACCCCAGTGCGGCTCATACTCCGATGTGGCTTAAACCCCAGTGCGGCTCATACTCCGATGTGGCTTAAACCCCAGTGCGGCTCATACTCCGATGTGGCTTAAACCCCAGTGCGGCTCATACTCTGATGTGGCTTAAACCCCAGTGCGGCTCATACTCCGATGTGGCTTAAACCCCAGTGCGGCTCATACTCCGATGTGGCTTAAACCCCAGTGCGGCTCATACTCCGATGTGGCTTAAACCCCAGTGCGGCTCATACTCCGATGTGGCTTAAACCCCAGTGTGGCTCATACTCCGATGTGGCTTAAACCCCAGTGCGGCTCATACTCCGATTTGGCTTAAACCCCAGTACGGCTCATACTCCGATGTGGCTTAAACCCCAGTGCGGCTCATACTCCAGAATGTATGGTAGTAGCTTGCCTAACTAATAATTTATATTATTCTATACGTTTCTTCTTTGTGTTCTATCAGCTCTTCCATGTTCAGATCCCGGCATCCCAGTGAATGGCGGGAGAGTAATTACTGGTCTAGTCTTTCAAGACATTGTCAGCTATTCATGCAACAATGGTTTCCAGTTGAACGGTACAGCTAACATCTCTTGTATTTGGGTGAACGGGACAAAGTGGTCCAATTCGACACCCACTTGCGATCGTGAGTACATTATGTGAAACTTGGCAATCAGTTGAGACTACTCAGAATCATGGAAATTATGGTATGAAACCTAACTTCGCGGAAATGTCAGTCCGCAAAGTAAAATGTGTTGAACGTCATCATTATTTACTTCGTGGATATGGCCATTTTCCTGTGATCTATAACTGGGGTTTATATCTCGTGGAGACAACACCCTGGACCTTGTGATGTCTAATTTCGGCGAACCGGTTCAGGTGAAATGCCATGCCCCACTGGGGTCTCTGACCATGCTGTCCTCACCATCGACCTCCCATTCTCTGCGTTCCGCGAACCAAAAACCGCACGCACTGTCTAGCGGTACAACCAAGCAGACTGGGACCACCTCTGTCACTTTTTCCTAGCCTACGACTGATCAACTGCCTTCACCACTAGCGCTGATGAGTCGTGTGCCAACATAACCGACATTATCCTCCAGGGCATGTCACGTTTTGTGCCATCAAGGCAACTCACATCCCAGCCGACGAATCCAGCTTGGTGGACCCTGAATGCGCCAAAAGAGAGGGCTTGGGCTGCTGCCAGACGGCATAAGTCAACAGCAGTGCGGCAGACAGCCTCGGCAGCAGAACAACGCTGTAATGACATCTTCCAGCATGCCAAGGTGGCCCGCCTGGCTACCCTGCGCACTAAGCTCTCCAAAGCTAGCCTGAGTGACCGTTCGTGGTGGTCTACCACCAAGCAAGCAAGTGGCAGCAGAAACACCTCCATCCCAGCTCTCACGCTGCAGCCTGGTTTTGGAATGCGTATCGAATGCCGAAAAAGCTGAGTGTTTTGGGCAGTATTTCGCCTCAAAGTGCAGCCTGGGCGCCGACTGTTATGTTTCTACCCGAGGGCAAAACATGAGCAAACGACCACCGATGACAGTTAGCATCGTGGCCTTTTTCAAGTCGTCGTCTACAATTTTATTCGCCGTGAGGTACTGCTCAAGACGAGACGAGTACGAGGCCCGGCTGAAAAGCTCTCAACGGTCCCGTTCCGCCCTGCCACGGTCAAGAGAGAACTCCGGCACTTAAATGCATCGAAATCTTCTGGACCGGACGGCATTCTCGGGCGAGTTCTGTAGATGTGTGCTGACCCCTGGAAAGTAAGCCACTCTCCAAACTGTTCTCCCTTAGCTTCTACATGGTTATGCCGACATCCTGGAAGACAGCTAGAGTCACACCCATTCACAAGAAGAAATCGATGAAGCTGCCTCAACATTACAGACCCGTGTCTCTGCTGTCTATAATAACCAAAGTGATGGAAACGATTGTCAATCGTCAGATAACCAGTTTCCTGGAGTCTCACAATGTCGTCTCCGCGAAACAGTTCAGGTTCAGAAAGGGCCTGAGCATAGCTGACGTCTTAACCAAGGTCCACTGTGAATGGTCCAGAGCAGCCGGTCTCGGAGGAACCACCCATGTTCTGGCGATAGATATAGCAGGCGCCTTTGATAAAGTCTGCCATGCTGGTCTGCTGCACAAGGCTTCCGTGTACGGTCTAGGCGGCCCGTTTCTCGGATGGCTGGAAAGCTACCTGCACAACCGGCGCTTGCCGGCTGTTGTGGGCAAAAGTTGCACAGAAGGAAATCGAGGCCTCTCTGCATGAGAAATCCACCTCACCATGTTCTGGAAGTGGGCAATATGCTGAAGAGGAGCAGAGGGACGATATTTAGCTGAGGGGTATGAGATTTGAGATGTTATGCACAAAGTTTGGATTTGAGTGTGTATACTTCTGACAGGGGTTTTGCCCACTTTTCTTGGTCAGATCTACTGTAAGAGCCATATATATAACAAAGTGCTAACTCTAACGAATTAACGAGAGAAATCTGTCGTTAAAATAGAAATCGTGATACAGAAATCTATACATATACTGTCGTATTGAGCGTTGAGAATGCGTGAGAATCGTTACCTTTGGTACACGTAAACCAGTCAATTTCGGGAAATCGTTATATATGCGCCTCGTTAGAATAATGGGTCTTAAAGTACTTGAAACTTGGCCTGCATTCATTTTAGCTACTGTATGAGCAGAAATATTCGTCTGGAATTTAATTTAGTCTTTTTCGTCAAAGGAGCTTTTGGACTTAATTAAATGCCGGACGAATGTCGATTTGTCCAGCTTTTCAATACACTATGATCCATGGACGGAATTTACAGCCGGACGTACTCCCTTTCTTTGGAGTTGGACGAAATTATTGACCGACGAAATTGTCTGCCTGTACAGTACCTGGTAGAGTAGAGTAGAGTAGAGTCACTCTACCAATAGAGGTAGATGGTAGAGGCAAGTGCACGAACGCTGTTCTACCGGATTTAGTAGTTTTTCACGATATGTACGTGAAATGTTTCTCTGCTGTATGGAGTTGTGTACAACTCCTTGATCTTGCTGGAAATCCCGTACCTCTACCAACTTCTACCGGCTTCTACCAACTTTTTCCTGGTAGTGCCGGTTGAGGAAAGTAGAATCTACCCTTTTGAGTAGAAAAAACGAACACCTCTTCCGAAAGAAGTAGTTTCTACCCAAACATGTAGATCAAAAATGAACGCCCCCTTGGTGAACATGATCCTAACAGGCCAATAAAAATTTTCAGTAGAACAAATTTTGAAACATTTGACCTATAGGTCTGTTTTTTGCTGATCACGGCTCATATACTCGTAGATCTGGTACGAGCAGTGCAGGAATATTAGTTTGGGCTGCTGGTCAAAAAATAATAACATTTACAAAATACTTCACACACGGCAATAGTACAGCATAACATTCTCAATTGGCAGTGTTCCGTGGTATGCACTTGTATCGAAATGGTTGGATGTCAGGACTTACTGCTGGTGATGTTGGCAGCTGACAAGTTGCAGCTTTCGTAAACAGCCCACCAAGTGGCAGGACAAAATTTGGGCAAGTATACCATCTGTCGCCACTCGCCTATTTGCACATGTTTCAAGACAGCCTCTTGAATGATTCTCGTTTGACCTTACTTTGTTTGTTTATCTATTTATTTTCCTTTGAGTCGTGTTGGTGCGAACGCGAGCGTGGGAATGCAGTCTACAGCCATGTTGTCTATTTTGTTACTACAAGTGTCATGCTGTTCTACTGACACCGATAATTCTCTCCTTCTGTCTTATCGCATTCTACTCTACTTCTCCCTCTCTCTTCTATTCTGTTTCCGTTCCGAACGTGTAGTTGTTTGAGCTGTTCTCATGATATAATATTTGTACTTCTGAAAACCGTTTGTACCCGTGATCCTGCGCTTGTCCAACTGCGCTGTGCTGTGTGATTGTGCTATGACTATGAGTATGAGTCATGCTCGCACTATGGTGCAGTTTGTGTATCGTGTACGTGTATGTTGTGGCGCAAGCGCGCTGTGCTTTTTCTGGCCCTTTTTCCTTCCTGTTGTCTTTGCAGTTCTTGAGTTGTGCCAGTTATGGTTGCAGTCTTTTGCAAAGAGAAACCCAGAACGTCTAATGGTGTGTTGTCCCATTTGCGTTCGGAGAGTGTGCCTGTGCACGTGTCTTGGATTTTGAATTTTTGCCCGTAACACCATCAGCCACGGGCTAAAATCAGGCCGAGGCCACCGATTTGCAAACGGTATCCACACGTGACGGGCCCACATTTTAAATTGATAGTTAGCGGCCATCCGGCATTATTGATAATTTTCATCAACGAAAAAGTTTAGTTATAACCCTCCCCCACCCACCCATCCACCCACCCACCCACCCCTATGAACGAAAAATAGATTGACTTGACAGCTAGAATCGATCGATGTTTCAGCTATCAATATTTTTCATAACGAAACTTTTTCGTTTGTGTAAAAGATTGATAACGGCCCCTTACTGTATTGAGATGTGATTGTTGTTGATAATGAACATTAGGTAGTGATTTAGGAGCTCGTTTGTGTGAGTCTCTACTTGACAAGGTGCAAAGAGGCAATTCATTCTATTTTCTATTCTTCACATCCATGTGTACATGATTGTGCAACACTGTTTTTGAGTTTTGCCTGTACAAGACGCTTTTCTCTCTGCACTAGCTGCACTAACAAAACATTTAAAAAAATTATTCTATTCCATGCTCCTTGCCCAGGTCGCTCATGTATCGATCCCGGTACTCCATCTAATAGTTATAGATTTTTTAATGGCCGAGCCTTCGAAGACAAGGTGACATATGCCTGCTATGATGGCTTCCAGCTGAACGGATCCGCCACCAGCACTTGTATTTGGGACAACGGGGTGAAATGGTCAGCTCGTCCCTCATGTAATCGTAAGTAGCGGCTTTCACCCAGTGACAATGTGCGAGCTTTGCTTGACCGTACAGCTTTGGATGTTGACAGCGGCAACGGTGGCCAATTTGCTGCAGTATTGTGTCTAGTGTAGTGTTTTAACCCTCTGTGTAGCAGCCCCATCTTGCTGTATGCTGCTGTGAGTAGATGGAGAAAAAAGGCGAATGTTGAATCCGACACAATTATTCAAAAATAGCAATTTTGAGGCAATTATTCCATCTCACATAAGTGGCACTATGAACGAATCTCGGGCATGTTGTTGCTCTTGATGCATCGATGCAATGCTCGTTGTTGTGAACCCTCTCAGATTCTCTAAAATGTCAGGATCGAACGACCACAAGGCACGAGGACAACTATTTACGCTTTAACAGTATATTTCACTTGATCGGATATAACAAACACTAAAACCACTAGGTAGTTATAGCGTGAAAATGACAGCGTATATGAGAAAAGCATACATGTACAACATACAACTACAGCGCACACAGCAAATCGCACATAGCGCATGTATCGTATACCACGTCGTAAACATCAGCGGTACGGCGGAGAGGAGATACGACTGCATTGAAACGAACACAATGTGAGAAGGCCTTTCACTCTTGAGAACTTGTGGTCTCATAACACTCGTGGTGTTGTTCTGTCACTGCTTCCCGTTGACGTTAGCACATGAGCTGTAAAACAGAGAGGTTCCAGGCTGTCCAATAGAGTGTTCAGGGCTAAACGGCAGAGTCAGTTCCAACAAGAGGAAGAGGACGAAATAAGTGCCACGGTTTTACTGCCAGTTTCACGCGCTCAAAACGATGATCAGAATTTTCTGATGATCGTTTAGTGCGTGAAACTCGGAGTAAAAACACTTTTTTCATCCTCTTTTCTTGTTAGCACATGAACTTTGCAAACTTGAAGTTGAAGTGCTGTCTATGGCAATGAGCGATGAAACCACTTCTAACATCCGAACCTTTAACCCGCCAATCATATTTCATGCAGTACCTTCAATGCGCCTGGCATAGGGAAAGGTGAAGCTGCATGAAGTCATTTCTTATTTCAAGTACACAGGTATGTGCAGCTGCAGCTTGCCTGCCTGCCTGCCCGCCCGCCCGCCCGCCCGCCCGCCCGCCTGCCTGCCTGCCCACCTGCCCGTCCGCCTGCCCGACAGCCCAACTGCCCGACTGCCCGCCTGACTTCCTGCCTGCCTGCCTGCCTGCCTTGCCTGTCTGCCTTCCTGCCTGCCTGCCTGCCTGCCTGCTTGCCTGCCTGCCTCTCTGCCTGCCTGCCTGCCTGCCTGACTGCCTGACCGCCTGCCTGCCTGACTGTCTGACTGCCTGCCTGGCAGGATTAAAACCACTCTGGTACATGCTGTTCAATAGCCTCGGTACTGGGCAGACTACCGTATTCTCCCGTTTACAAGTCGACCCCGGTAAATTTGAGAATTCCTATGCGCAAGATGATGACAGATTTATGTCACATAGCTGCTGACCCACTAACCGAATCCTTACGTGTTCCATGTTCTGATCTTTTAGGTCTTTCATGTCTAGATCTCGGCACTCCACTTAACGGGCGTAGAGTTGCTTATACGGGTTTTGCCTTTCAAGACACTATCAGCTTTTCATGCAACGATGGCTTCCAGTTGAACGGCTCAACATACAGCAAATGTATTTGGGCCAGTGGAATTAAGTGGGATCATCCACTACCCACTTGCAATCGTAAGTGCACTAGTGCTTGAGTTATCGTTTTTGTTTGGTCTGTTTTCAAAGATGGCTGCCCAACTAAAAGTGTGTTCAAATTGTCTTCCTCGACTTTTCAAATAGCACCACAGAGGAGATAAGGTGAAACATCCTACAAACGCTTGTTATCAGACTTCCTTTTTCAATGGAATTGTCATACATTTCCTTTCTTCTCTTGTTTCAGGTCTTTCATGTCTTGATCCCGGCATTCCACTTAATGGTGGTCGAGTAATTTCTGGTCTAGCCTTCCAAGACAATGTCAGCTATTCATGCAACGATGGTTTCCAGTTGAACGGTGCAGCTAACAGCTCTTGTATTTGGTCTAGCGGAATGAAGTGGTCGAATCCAGTTCCCTCTTGTGACCGTGAGTAAACATACGAACACTTTTTTTCTTATGGGTTGAATAATAATTATTTTTATAGTTACATGTACAGAACAGAACAACAAGGACAATCAAGGCTTGTTTGCTGCGACTTGAAGTTTCATGCTCTCGCAATCATCAGGCAACATGAAGGTTGGGTGCCGACCATGCCAGTACCGTAAAGTCGCGGATAAAAGCCGGGTTTGCATACAAGCACATCGCGGATAGAAGCCTGAAAATCAAACGGGTCAATGCATATAAGCCCGTCGCGCGTAGAAGCCTGGCTTCTATGCAAGCGCGGATCGGGTAGGTCAAGAGTGCATGCGCTATGTACAGTGCATAGTAAAACTGCCGCCATACCGGTAGTCAGTGGTAAATCTACGGGTGTCGCGCGTAGAAGCCTGGCTTCTATGCAAGCCCGGATCGGCCGAGCAATACAAAAGCGCTAAAACTTGCGCCTGTTGGCCGAAAAGCCCGGATATTTTTAGTGCATCAGTACCCAGAAATCCCGCTGTAATTACCCAGCACAGACCTAGAGTTTAACAACTGACCATGGGTCCCAATAACCGGCAGGCGCTGTGAGTTGATCTAAGACCATGATTGATACAAAAGAGGTACCTGTTTCTGTTTCAAGTCCTGTCTGGGAATAGCTCTTCCAGCTGTCGTGCTGCTACCCACAGTTAATCGGGAGCTTGTGGCCAGGCACAAGACATACATGGATGCGGATAATACCCCACCATCACTGCTGCGTCTCGGTGCAGCCCCTGCTCAGTAGTGGTCACGTTTGTCCTAGTCTCAGTACCATTGTCTTTCATTGTTATTTTCGAGCTGGGTATGTGAACATAGAAAAGAAAGAGAAAAAGGGGGTGATCGGCACTCGTGCCAGTGGTTGCGAGACTTGTCCCTTCACTCTCACCGTTACGCGCTGCATCCGCCACTGGATTTACCGGGTGTTAAGGCCGTTGGGAGTTCCCTTGGAAACCAACAAAATTATTTTGCTTTGACTTTTATTTGACCCAAAGACCAATTTTCAATGTAATTTCTATTCTCTGCTGTTGCAGGTCGTTCATGTCTAGATCCCGGTACTCTACTTAACGGTGGTAGAGTTCTTGATGGTCTAGCCTTTCAAGACAATGTCAGCTATTCATGCAACAATGGTTTCCAGTTGAACGGTACAGCTAACAGCTCTTGTATTTGGGATAATGGAATGAACTGGTCCAATCCACTTCCCACTTGTGATCGTAAGTAGGAGCCTTTCATAAAGAGATAAGTTATTATTCAAGCTATAGTTGACCCTGAATCCGTAAACCCTTGCTACATTCAGTATGATTTGTTCCTAGAGTGCAGGTTTCCCACCCCAGTCAGGCGCGTACCCAGGGGGGGGGGGGTGGGGGTGCGGACAACCCCCCACTGCCACCACCACCACCACCACCACGGAGTGGGCAAGTTCTGCAGATCAAGTGCAGCTACCAATTTTTTCAAGTTTTTGTGGAGGCGCACTGATCGATGCTACTATGGGTCTCGTACTCAGACGCTGCATCCAGACCACAGGCGGAAAGGTTCAGGTTTCGTACTCCGAAACAGTGACTATGAGCCAGGACTCATGAGGCATGAGCATGTGTCCGCGCGTGAGTAGATAGTACGCATGCAGAATAATCACAGTTGACTTGTAGAATACTTGTGCATCTCAAATTACACATGCGCCGCTTAAGAAGTTCCACCCGAAAACTGGAAGACCCACCCCAGTTTTTGAATCCTGCATACTGGCCTGCCAGTAATCCCCCCCCCCCCCCCTCCCCTCACAAACTTGATTCCTTGCATCTGCTCTGCTGCGCTATGCTCCAAAGCATGGTCACCTCATGGAGCTCCTTGTCTACCCGCAATGGGCTATCTGAAGTCCTGCTACACAAGGCAGAACTACAGAGACCAAAAAGCTTCCTCTTAACTCCGGGTTTCGTGTTCAAAAAACACTCATCAGATGACTGGGTGAAATCCTGTTATGTATGTACTGCAAAACCGGAACGACCATTTTTTCCGTTTTTTGAAGAAACGTTATCGCAAACCTGGTTTGAGATGTCTGTGTAATTAAGAGAGCATGTCTGAGAATACCAAAGTATGTGTGCAAGTGGATCTCTCCGATTTCGCTCAAAATTTGCAGGTAGGTTCCCTTTGGGGTGTGGATCGATTGTGCAAAGCCCTTGAAAAAGTTTCTGAAGGGAACCTTGAAATTTGGATACCCCTCAGAGATGGCCGAAATATCACATATGGGTCTAGAAACGAGTCGCGCCACAGCGTATACGAACAAGCTATGAACAAAACTCCATCAAGCCAACATTGCCTCACCTTAGAAGAGTTCCTGGAGCAGTACCGCTTAGCCACGCCAGGATCCCAGAAGACGAGGTCCATCGCCCCCTGACGCCACAAATGATCGTCTTGAAAATAGTCAATTTACAAGCGCTGGCAAAACAGCCAGCTACGTCCTCAATTGGCCAGAACTATACACCGGCAGATAGTAGAACACCTCTTCTAGCGCTGAGGACATGTCCCCCATCTTCCTTTTGGGGTTTTCTTGAAATAAACTTTTTCGAATTTTTCCACTCGACATGCTGAAATACGGCCAAAGTCATACCTGCGCAGGAATGCTCGCCTCTCCGCGACGTCTCCTCAGCAATTTCTCTTCCCAACACTACTCCCAAGGCCGCAGAACAAAGTGTATTGTTGGCTCTGACAAGGAAAAGCAGCGGTGATCACTTGTCACTCCAAACGACAAGCTTTTCCTTGCGCCACCAATAATTTTTTGTGCGACTGTTGATGCAAAAGTGACTGAAGGAATGAGCGCAATTCTTGAATTTTACTACAAGAGGCACTTTGAAATCAAGCTTCCAATCTCTCTCTTGGGTATTATTATTATTATTATTATTATGAACGCAAATAATGATGAGTGGTTACATGGGTTAGACAGTGTATAGAACCAGCATTTGCTTCTGGGAAGAAGGACTCACAAAAAGAACAGCATGGCTGAATATGGACAGCTGCTATTGCCAAACTGGAATTTGGATCGCATTAATCTTCTTGTAGAAAAGAGAAAGATCAAGGAACTACAAGTTACGCTATAATGTCCTCTAACACCACCAGTTACTAAACAATCAGCTCATGCCATAACATAGCATTATAGCGTAACTTGTAGTTCCTTGGTCCCTTTTCTTTTCCATAATTTATCCTTGGCTCTCCATCCGAGTCGTGATTTTTGGCTCAACATCCAAGTTTCCAGTTTCCAACTGTGTTATCAATCCTACATGTTCAATGGTGTGTTTTTGCAGGTCTTTCATGTCTAGATCCTGGTACTCCACCTAACGGTGGTCGAGTTCTTTCTGGTCTAGCCTTTCAAGACAAGGTCAGTTACTCATGCAACAATGGTTTCCAGTTGAACGGTGCAGCTAACGGCTCTTGCATTTGGTCTAGCGGAATGAAGTGGTCCAATCCGACACCCACTTGCGATCGTAAGTGCACACATGAATATGATTTGGGCATAGGGGAGTACTGCAAATCTACTGTATGTAGGAAATTGGTCAATCTGTGAGTTTTGAAGAGAAACTGGTCATTCAAGTACATTTGCCATCGTAAGCTCGCTGGTTCTAAGAGATCACGAGAGTTTAGTGGGTAGATTATTGGGCGGGTTACAGTTCTCGTAAACATGCAGTGGAATCTGCCTAAGGCGACCGCTCAAGTGCTGGCCACCTGACTCTTTGCTACACCTGAAACCTATCAGGGTCCTATGACAACATTTAAAGTAGCCCCCGTAGCCCTCGCCGGAGGCATCTGTGAACAACTGGAGGTCAGGAGAACGGGACCAGGCCTGGTCGTGGAAGAAGGACTTCCCATTCCAGTCGGCCGCAAAGCGATGCCACCAGGCGATGTCGAGGCGCGCTTCCTCATCGATCGGGATCCGGGCAGACATGGAGGAAGCCGTTGTGCTGAGGGCAATGAGGCGCCGAATGAACGTGCGGCCAGGGGGGACCACTTTGGCGGCGAAGGATAGCGTGCCTATGAGGGACGCTTGGAGCAGTCAGTGTGCTGGAGCCAAGTTGCCAGAGCTGTGTGGAGGGCGGACAACTTGTCCTGGGGGAGCCGAGTTGCCTGCTCCACACTGTCAACTTCGATCCCCAGCACCGTCATCACAGTCGTTGGAGGGACAACCTTGTCCTGGCCGGTAGCCACTGGAACGCCCAAGTTTTCAAACACGGTTAGCAGCGTCGCTTGTTGAATGGCTGCGGTAGATGACGATGGAGAGGGGCTAGGCGGGGCGACGCCGATGTAGTCGTCCAGATAATGCTCGAGGTCGGCCAGGGAATAGTTATGCCGGTGTATCCAACATACTTGGTCCGCGTCAGCGATATTGTCGCTTATCATTCAGCTTTGTTTATATGTCGCCAATGCTTACTTGGCAGCCCATTTCATCCCAATTTTGGTTAGCAAGTTAGTTTGCTAGTACCTGAAAGGTCTAGCTAGAGTTTGAGTGGATGTCGAGAGCGACAGGTGGGTGATTCTGATTGATACAGCGCCGCATCAAAATAGATTATCTGGTTATGCTGTGCAGGCAAGAGCAGCGCAAGCCACAAGAAAGTAATCGGCTACTCGGAATCAGCTCCATTTTGCTGAACGGCCGAGATCGCTCACCTCAGGGATCGCTCATCAAGCTGAGATCGCAGCTCCCTTACCTCCAGCTCCTCGCTCGGAGTATCCAGCGCGTCGTGGAGATTTGCAAGTACATGTACTGTACGCGTCGTCGTCGTTCAAAATAAAATCTTGCAAAGAACGGCGTCTGATTTGAACCACACAGGCTGTCGTGCTGCCCAGGCAAAGTCCTACAGAGAAGGCGACCGTCACGATCGACTTCTCTTTAGAAAATAGCCAGGCAGCGGAGAGGAAGAGAGATGAGCTTGCAAAAGCAAGAGAGTCGATCCCGAGCAAACATATTTGTCGCCAGCGCCGAGAGCAGCGACGAGGAGGACCGAACAAAGTAGGAACCCTTTCTTGGACAATAAATTCCTCGCAGCTATTTGTCATTCTATACCTTTCCGTCCATCGTACCAAGTTTTATCACTTCAGGTGCACGCGTTCATGTCCAAAGTCTAAGTTCAAATTGTCGAAAGATAAGCGACAATATTGCTGACGCGGACCAAGTAGCGCATCTGCCAGCAGGTTGAAGAGAGCTGGGGAAGACCGCAGCCTGAATGGCAGGACCTTGTCGAAATAATACTGCCCGTCCCACACCATGCCTAGGAGGGGCCAATCGTGTGGGTGGACGGGGATGTTTCGGAACGCGTGGCGGATATCCACCTTGTACATTAGCGCACCCTTGCCGTGACGGATCACGTGCCCCACGACGACGTCCACAGTAATGTACTTGAGGCTGAACAGGTCTTCGGGAATGCCATCTTTGATACTAGCGCCGGCCGGCGCGGACAGATGCACTATCAAGCGGTGGCCACCTGACTTCTTCGGAATGACACCGATGCCAGCCGAACGGAAGTTGGCGAACGGGGGTTGCCGAAACGGACCGGCCGTATGACCAAGCTGAACCTCTTTAGCGAGGTAAGCTGAAACAATCTCAGGGGAAACAAATGCCGAAGCAAGATTCTCACAAAGCAAAGAATGACGGGGACCGTCATAGCCAACTCTAAAACCATAGCGTAAACCATCTAACAAATGGGCAACAAATGCAGGATCAGGGTGTGCGAGCAATTCAATTTCCAATGCCTGCAGAACAATTGGAGTGTGAGGGGTGTGCGTGGGTAAGGCAGGGTGTGTATGTGCGTGCGAATCAGACACGAATGCATTAAAATCAACAGGAGTGTGAGGTGTGTGCGTGGATAAAGCAGGATACGGACTAGCCGGGGCCTCTCTGGCCGACGCGAGCCCCGCACCGGGTGGCGACGTGGTCGGGAGCTCCGCAGGAGCTGCAGACGTGGCGATACCTACAGTTCCGAAAATTACACCGGCCCTTGTTGTGCAGCTCGCACGCTGGCTGGGTCGTGCCGGGCTTGCGCTGGTCCCGGGAGGTGCAGGTGTTGGCGGTGTGTCCGAGACGCTTGCATACGGGCAGAGAATGAGCGCCTGGCCTGTGAAACAGCGGGTGTACAGGTCCTGATCCACCACATCCCACTGCATGCCAGGGCTGTGGGCGAGTTTCCAACGGAACTCCTCGTCATATTGGCACACCGCCGCCCACCTATATCGTTTCGCCGCTTGAATGATACGAAGCTGATATGTGATCAGAGACACCGCCCTTGCGGGTTGGATGTCGCAGATCAGTGCGCAATACACCGACCATGCCTCCAGCCAAACGGGCAGGCTCTCCAGCTTGCAGCGGGATGGCAGGGACGGGGAGAGCACTAGCTGGCCACTATCCTCTGACACCCGGACTCGCTTTGCGGCTGGCTCGTCCGCGAGGGGGGTGAGGAACAACGCAAGCTCCACATATTCCCCGCGCAGCACCTTGTCGTACGTACTACGGGGCACGTGGTCAGTCTCCCCATTACGGGACCCGACATTGACAGCAATAGGGTTACACACAAAATCATTGTACGGGAGACTGCTAGAGATATTCACACTAGGACTAGGAGTAGGCACACGAGAGCTATGGATAGTCACACCACTAGGGGGAGACAGCCCATCGACGACAGTCGACGCAGCCACAGGCACAGGCGTAGGGAGGCTAGCACTAGTAGGCACACGTGTGGAACTACTACTACACACACCCGTACCTGTAGGAAACGACTCCTGCACCTGCACCCGAGGATCGGCAGTGTTGGCAGGGGCAGCCGGGCGGGACGGACGGCGTGTCGACCCCGCCTGACCCGAGGCTGCAGGGGCGACGGCTCTAACAGCCGCCTGGACAGATGTGGCGATCAAGGCCTGGAGGGTTGCCATTTGGCCAGGAGAAAACCCAGGCGCCGGAGCCGGCGTTGCCGGGGGAGCAGGGGGTGCTGCAGCAGCAGGAGGAGCTCGAGCAGCCATGCTGCGGGTCGGGGGAGCAGGGGGTGCTGCAGCAGCAGGAGGAGCTCGCGCAGCCATGCTGCGGGTCGCGACACGTCGGGTGCTCATCTCAGCAAGTAACGGAGAAAAGGGGAAACCTCGGAAGGAAGAAAAAACTTTGACTTGACACCGAAACTGCAACTGCAAAGAACGCTCCTTCGCACAAAGACAGCTCAGCAAAACATGTCTCCAAATAATTAGACGCCGGATCCACGATTGTCCATAAAATTTTGCCAGGCCACACACGGCTCACACGGCTTAATCACGAGGTGGTCACATGACACGCACTCGCAGCACTCCACCACCAGCATGTGTGTGCATGGGCTAACTAGGCTTTGCTGCGCAAAGCCCACATTTAACGCTGTGCGAGAGGGTTGAGGCGGGGGGGGGGGGGGTGGGGGTGCTGGGAGAGGGTGCCAGGAGGGGGTTTAGGAGGTTTGCCGGGAGAGGGTGCTGGGAGGGGTGCCTGGAGGGGATTGTGGAAGGGGTTGTGTGTGGGGGGGGGGGTACCTGGAGATGACAGGAGGGGGTGCCGGGAGGGATGCCGGGAGGAGGTTGAGAAGGAGATGCCGGGAGGTGCGCCAGGAGGGGTTTGAGGAAGGGGTGCTGGGAGGAGGTTGAGAAGGGGATGGCAGGAGGGGTGCCGGGAGGAGGAAAGGGAGAACGTTGAGGGTATCAGGGGGTGGCTTGACCTCATCCGCTCAGAAGAGTCTTCTGCAACCAGCCATGGGTCCAAAGAACCAGGCATCCTTCGTACAATTTCTCTTTTGTTTTTGTTTTTGCAGGTCTCTCATGTCTAGATCCCGGAACTCCACTGTATGGTGGTAGAGATCTTGGTGGTCTAGCTTTTCAAGACAATGTCAGCTATTCATGCAACGATGGTTTCCAGTTGAACGGTACAGCTAACGGCTCTTGTATTTGGGCTAATGGGATGAAGTGGTCCAATCTGCTTCCGAAGTGTGACCGTGAGTACAAATATGTACTTTTAAAATACTGTATTTACAGTATTATCTCCATTAAATTTATATTTTTCAGAGTTCGGGCACGATCCATTTCTTTCCGAAGTCACATTCAACCCCCTCTCAGTGAATAGATATACTCCCCCCTTTTCAATGGCTATTTGCATTGGCTTAAGCTGCACCAGGAGACAAAGGGCCTTTCTACTTTAACAGCATTCAGGAACGCCTTGCTGTACCAGTAGACCACAATTTCAGTCCATATTTGCTTCTTTCTTCTTTTCCTTTTCTTTTTGACTTCTTGCTCTTTTCCTTGTTAGCCGTGGTTGGCAATAAAAACCCTGCAATCGCCACGCAAAGTGGTTATTGGCTACCCCGGCCATGTATTGCTTGGAATAAAATAAATAAATAAATAAATAAATAGCCTGCCTCAAAACCTTTCCAATGAACCATCGTTTGCGTGAATCTTACACTCGGTTGCAGAGTTATGGTGCATTTAGTGCCATGGCTTATGGGTGCATGAAGTTGCCCTGCGTCGAAAATTTTGAGGGATGTGCACCCAAAGCACCCCCCCCCCCCCGGACACACACACACACCCACACCCTGGGTATGCAACTGATACAGTTGTGCCCTGGAAGCATGCAGTGTACTTACTGCAGCAGCAGGACTCTTGAATCTATGAGTTCACAGGTCAAGAGTGATAACATGTTGGTATATGATGTCACACACAAACGTTAGCACGGTCATTGCTTGCCTCGAAATGTAAACAGCAGCCGTTATGAATTACCCAAGGCACAGTAAATTATAGTGACATTGATTGTGCTGTGTGTGGAAAGGCCATTGGTCACAAGCACAATGAGTCAATCACCATTAGCGTCATGTGAAACCTTGACTCTCTTTCCTGCTCTCTCTCTCTCTATCTTTATCTCTATCTATCTCTTCCCCTCTCTCTCTCTCTCTCTCTCTCTCTCTCTCTCTCTCTCTCTCGCTCGCTCTCTCGCTCTCTCTCTCTCTCTCTCTCTCTCTCGTTCTCTCTCTCTATCTCTCCCTCGTTCTCTCTCTCTCTCTCTCTATTTCTTCATTGCATTCATTAAGGTCTTACATGCCAAGACCCCGGAACACCACTGAATGGCGGTAGGTTGCTGTCGGGTCTAGCCTTTCAGGGCAAAATCAGCTATTCGTGCGACAATGGCTTTGAGCTGAATGGCACAGCGAACCTAACTTGTAGATGGTCTAATGGACTGAATTGGTCTGATCCACTTCCAGCTTGTTATCGTAAGTATATAAACTTGTTGTACTTGGGGCAAAGAGTGGTGCGGTCAATACCGCAGCATGTCCAACACCTATGAAGTAGGGATAGGCAGTCTTGGGGCTCCCCGCGTGCTAGTTTGTACGTGAAGTGTGTGGGTTACAGTGAGGGCTGCGTCCCACCCACCTGTGTGGATTCACAGGAAGTGTGAGTTACGAAGTCTGAAGAAAACTTTGAACGGTCTCTGCTGGGATGACGACTACACCATAGCTTAGTGGTTAGAGCATCGCTGGCTACAAGCGAAGGTCCCTGGTTCGAGTCCTGGTGGTGACAGTCAATTTTTTCTTCAGACTTTTCCCGTTTGTCTCTTTCCCTCAAACCAGTTAATAAAATCACATATAATCACCAAACACGGGAACTGGTCAAAGCCAGAACTCATCTGTTTTTGAATGGTCTTTAAGCAAGTGCAGAACTAACCCTCTCTCGGTTTCTTCAATGTGCTTTTTCAGGTCTTTCATGCCAAGATCCCGGAACACCACTGAATGGCGGTAGGGTGATGTCGGGTGCTCTAGCCTTTCAGGACAAAGTCAGCTATTCGTGCGACAATGGCTTTGAGCTTAATGGCACAGCGAACATAACTTGTAGATGGTCAAACGGACTGAATTGGTCTGATCCACTTCCAGCTTGTTATCGTAAGTATTCCTGAGGAAATTCAATTCAATTTATCTTGTACTTAGAAGATATCTGTTGAACTGGTGTATCCAGATTGTGCAGAACATTTTGTGGTGAATGTTTCAGCAACAATGACAAGGCTAACATCTAGTTTGATCACTGCTAGCCATGAACTTTCCACATCATACTAATCTCACTGTAATTATTATCTCTTATTGGCCACAGGCCATCGTGAGAATATAGATTTAAACATAGACCTTCAGCATTCTTCAAAAAACGTTGCCTTCCGCGATCAAGAAGGCGAGCTGAATTGACACAAGGTCACTTTATCTTACCGTTTCAAGCAACAGATGCAATGTCCAATACTGGCGTAAGTGTAAAAGACGTGATCTTGTCAATCGTTTTTACGGACAGCAGACACGTAAGCAACGGGTGACTTGTCAGCTGATAACTGCTAGATGAAGTTGCTGCTCGCAATATTTTCTCCTTAGGGAAAATACTGAGCTACTAAAACAGAAAGGACCAAGGAACTACAAGTTACGCTATACTGTCCACTAACGCCACCAGTTACTAAACAATCAGCTCATGCGATAACATTGCACGACACTGACCGGCGGTACTGATGTTCTACAACTAAATGGCTAACAGCTCTAGCACATCTTGGATGCACACTCCAACAGCCTTCCAACTTGTAGAACGTCAGTACCGTCGGTCAGTGCCGTGCCATGTTATCGCTTGAGCTGATTGTTTAGAAACTGCTGGTGTTATTGGACAGTATAGCATAACTTGTAGTTCCTTGGTCCTTTCTATTTTGTATAAATTAATCCTTGGCTCTCCATCCGAGTCCATTACTAAATACAGGTATTTGTTTGCTTCCGCGAAACTATTGACGTTTCAGGTCGGCCACACCTGTCAGGAGTCAGTAACATTATTTCGCACAAAGGGTACATTTTGCCCAGTGATAATATTTTGAAGACTCCAAAAGCAGGTCTCTTTCTAAATTAAATTTGCCAGTTACTACTCGTAGTAGGTAATGAGCGGGTTCTGTGCCAGGGGGCGCCCTGCCCTAAAAAATGGGGCATTATTGAAATATGTATCGTGTGCATGTGGGCTCGAATCTCACTTCTTCTTTTTTAGGGGTGGGGTGTTATGCACTGCCCTACATCATGTTGCATTATGATGTCTAAAATATCACCATTTCTAATGTCAATTTCATCTCAATTTTTTAAATTTTATATTAATCAGAACTCAATCTGCGGACAGAACTGTTTCGTGCTTTGTGGACTCGTCAGCGTAACACAGAGGAAATGAGGCCGAACCTCATAGTTTTGCAGTAGTTTGGCTTGTAATTCCAATTTTTCGGATCATTTCCCGTTCTTTGTTTTTGATGCACATTTTCTATTCCCAGTTACTACTCGTTCTCTTCATATTCGGTCAAAATATCTTTTCAGCATACACAAGGCGGAACAGCAGAGACCAATATCTTTCTCGTGACTCCGAGTTTTCGTGTTCAAAAACACTCATCAGACGAAGACACTCTGTCATTTTCAGCATAATGTTTATCACCATTGGCGCACTATTTCAGCCTGCTATAATACCCTTTCTAAATTTAAAACTTCTCCTCATGTTTGTGGTCTTCCAGGTCGCTCTTGTCAAGATCCGGGCACCCCGTTGAATGGCGATAGAGTTCTGTCAGGTATTGCGTTTGAGGACATTGTCAGCTATTCTTGCAACGGTGGCTTCAGGCTGAACGGTTCGGAGAACAGCACTTGTACGTGGGCGAACGGCATGAACTGGACTAATCCACTGCCCGAGTGCCATCGTGAGTACATTCCTCTTCTAATGAACCTTAACCACTGGTTAGAGTGATCAAGATATACACGACATGCAGAGTAAACGAATTTTTCCACAGAATTGTTAATAACAGGGGGTTTGTCAACTGACAACCGCTCTATTTAGTTGCAATTCACTCTTGGCACATGCGCTGGATGAAAATTCTTTTATTAGCAATGTTGAAAAATTATTGACGTTTCGGGCCAGTCACTCATCGTCAGAAATATCTGTTTGTTGCTCGTTGAGGATATTCATTTGTACATTCCTCCACAACGGCCATAGCCAATAATAATTCTAGAAACTTGTGTAAGCAAGCAGGTTGTCCATGGCAAGCTGCGCGCGCGTGCGTGTGCGTGTGTGTGTGTGCGCGTGTGCGTGCATGTGTGTGCGTGCGGGCATGCGTGTGTGCGTGTGTGTGCGTGCCGGCATGCGTGTGTGTGTGTGTGTGTGTGTGTGTGTGTGTGTGTGTGTGTGTGTGTGTGTGTGTGTGTGTGTGTGTGTGTGTGCGTGCGTGTATGTTTCAGTGTGATATTGTCAGCAATCGTTGTGACCTAGGCACGGTTGTATACTTCTCTTGTGTTTTGCAGGTCTTTCATGTCTAGATCCCGGTACTCCACTTAACGGTGGTAGAGTTCTTGATGGTCTAGCCTTTCAAGACAAGGTCAGCTATTCATGCAACACTGGCTTCCAGTTGAACGGCACAGCTAACAGCTCTTGTATTTGGGATAACGGGACGGAGTGGTCCGACCCGATACCCACTTGCGATCGTAAGTAGACGCCTGAACAAGCAAGGCAGTAGGACCAAGGAATTTATGAGTCACCCCGTGTGGCTCTTTTCTTTATTTTTCACTGCTCTGTCCTGCTTCTTCTCCTTCACAATTATTGCATTGGGGTTTGACATAATATACCAACAATTCTAGCGGGATCTAAAGCTTAAACTTGGCAGTCCTCTGGTGGCTGAGGTGTGTGTATTTGCTCTGGACATCATTATTACGATTATCGAACAGTTACGCTCACTGAGTAGATGAAGCCTCTTGTGACTGAAGAAAACCTCCCAACCAAGGTCGGTTGACAGCTGTGACATGACTGGATAATGTGACCGGATCATGTGTCTGGATAATGTGACTGCATCATGTTACCGGATCATGTGACTGGATCTTGCTAGTGGAACATGTGACTGGATGTTAGTGGAACATGTGACTTGATCATGTGACTGGATTTGTATTTATGGATTCTCCACAGGCCTTAGCCTAAATCGAGGGAGTCTCCATCAACAGCTTATGAAGAAGAAGCTGAGGAGAAAAATAAAAATAGGAAATAGAATGATGCGGGGTGGTAGTAATATAACACAGTGCTCTATGACATCGCTACTCTACGTGGAATGAAACCAGAGGGCTCAGGGTCATGTGACTGGATCATGTGACTGGATCGTGTAATTGGATCGCGTGTCTGGATAATGTTACTGGATCGTGCTAGTGGAACATGTGACTGGATCATTTTTTTTGAACTTCGTTTTACTTCGCAAAATCCAAACGGGAATTTCTTCCCAATGACAAGGTAGCGAAGATCATGTGACTGGATCATGTGACTGGATCATGTGACTGGGGAGTGTAATTGGATCGTGTGACTGGATCGGGTGACTGGATCATGTGACTGGGTCGTGACTCATGAGATTGGATCATGTGACAGTTTCCCCGTCTAATCCGCCATACATTTAACTTTTCACCTCATCAAGGATGACCTATTATAGAAGGTTGTGCTGGAACCAACCCACTAACTTTTAAATGATCCCTTCATCTGCATATTATTCTTTCAGGACGTACGTGTCAAGATCCTGGTACTCCACTAAACGGCGGCAGGGTTCTGCTGGGTCTGGCTTTCCAGAATACTGTTCGCTATGCGTGCAACGAGGGCTTCAAGTTGAACGGCTCCAATGACAGCATCTGCACTGTTCAGGCGGACGCGATGAACTGGTCCACTCCCATTGCAACCTGCGAACGTGAGTAAATGCTGCCATGACATCTTCTACTGTAAACTTCCAAATGTTCGCTATTCATTATTGTTCAATTTTTTTTGCGACAAGACGGTAACTCGAATAGTAACCATCGTGAAATTCGAACGTCTGCAGTGGGTGTATGCGAAGTGTTGTTTCTTTCTTCCTGTCTTTTTCAAACACAATAATTATAGTTATGTGTCTTTCAAAAATTCCACCATTCCCTGCACTATCCTGAAGAGAAGGGGAAGAAAACGTTTGGTAGATAAAAGCAAGTGTTTTTTTGATTGTGCGGATTAGCGTCTTTGTATGCGAAGTATTAGATCTCGAAAATAGTTTGACTGCCATAAAACTACCGTTTGAGTTAAGTAATCATGTACAATAAGCCCATTGCACAATGACGTAATTTGTACCATAAACACCCCACACAGCCACCTGGGCATGGTCGTCTGGGGTGTTGAACAGTGCATTGCTGATCCCAGTGTACTCACAAACACCCCACACATCCACCGGAGCATGGTCGTGTGGGGTGTTGAACAGTGCACTGCTGATCCCAGTGTACTCACATAACACCCCACACAGCCACCTGGGCATGGTCGTGTGGGGGTGTTGAACAGTGCATTGCTGATCCCAGCGTACTCACATAACACCCCACACAGCCACCGGAGCATGGTCGTCTGGGGGTGTTGAACAGTGCATTGCTGATCCCAGTGTACTCACATAACACCCCACATAGCCACCTGGGCATGGTCGTCTGGGGTGTTGAACAGTGCATTGCTGATCCCAGCGTACTCACATGCTTTACTCATACCTTCCATATTTGGCAATACGCAATCATCCGGGGCTGATTGGCTAGTTTATGGACAATGAGAAAAGTATTTTTTTCTCTTTTTTCTCTTGTCAACTTTGATCTGTGTTTAGCTGTGACCTGCTCCAAGGTTGAAGCTCCGACAAACGGAGCCAAATCTACTGACAGCGTTGCCTACAACCAGACGGTCAGGTTCTCCTGCCGCGCGGGCTATTTTGTGAACGGCTTGAACGCTAGCACGTGCAAAGGGCTGGGACACTGGACGAATCCAGCGCCAACGTGTTCACGTAAGTATTCATCCGTGCACACTTGCACATTCAGTAAAACTGCCTAGATCCGGGCAGCTTGGGACCGAGCACTGCCCGTGACTCAGAACTGGCATACCTTTCATGCGTGTACGTAAACATTTTTTATGCCAATCAATAGTTTCTGGGGCCAATCAAAGCGTTTAAAAGCCCAATTTTGTAACTCTAGGTGGGTCGGAAAGGTGCCCCGTAGGCGGATGTGCCTGGATTAGGGGCATCCGGATCTGGGTGTCCGGATCTGGGTGTCCGGATCTGGGTGTCCGGATCTGGGTGTTCGGATCTGGGTGTCCGGATCTGGGTGTCCGGATCTGGGTGTCCGGATCTGGGTGTCCGGATCTGGGTGTCCGGATCTGGGTGTCCGGATCTGGGTGTCCGGATCTGGGTGTCCTGATCTGGGTGTCCGGATCTGGGTGTCCGGATCTGGGTGTCCGGATCTGGGTGTCCGGATCTGGGTGTCCGGATCTGGGTGTCCGGATCTGGGTGTCCGGATCTGGGTGTCCGGATCTGGGTGTCCGGATCTGGGTGTCCGGATCTGGGGAGCTTACTGTACCAGCATGGGTCACTCACTATCGGAACGGCCGGTGTTACCGAACGATTGTTTTTCAAAATGAATGCTTTTTTGTGTTTTCAGCCCCCACCCACCCACCTACCTACATACCCCTTCTG